CCAAGGCCAAACATTCCAGGGTATGTAAACTTCTGATCATGGCCATTTGGGTGATTTCTGTTATCATTATGATTTAAAAAGGAGCCAAACAACTATTTGACAATAAATGGCTTCATATGATCATCATCCTTCAATAAAAGACAATTTTTTGGCATGATTAGTCATATTTTCAATATCAATGCCAAAATTTCACAATTTCTGCCATGGTATGCAAACTTTTGAGCACAACTGTAGCCAGTGAAGTGACTGTCTTCAGGTGATACACAGAGATGAAACAAAACCTCCAACATAAGTTGTACCTGGTTATTTACAGGCATCTTTCCCCTACATCAAATCAATGTGCAGAACTTACACAGGACCTCCCAGCTCTCAAAAGCAGGGGGAGGGGAGCTGAAATTAAATCAATGAGAAGCGCTCTGAGAGCTGATTGGAGGGAAAGGACTCACCCCCTTCACAAAGCGCACAGTAACAGATCTGAGGCTGTCAATCACAGGCTGTGCCCTCCCCTGTCACTATTTTTCTCTTGGTGTCAGGAAAACCCCTCAGAAGTGACTGATGCAGGTAGCAGAGGAACAAGGCAGTGGACAGATATCACACATAGTACTCTGAGCTGAGACAAGCACACTATATAGAGCTATATGCTTTGTTCACATTTCATGTCTGGGGATTACAACCACTTTAAGTAAGATTCAGTTTATGGTCTCACTGGTGGCTCTGCCTCTCGGGGTGGACAAGTCCATCCTAATTGCAGAAGAGCCAAAAACTGCTTAGGGGTTGAAATTATCCATAAATGCTCAGTCATCAGTTTTACAGGAACTAGTCAATGATAACTGTACATGAAAATAGAAAAAAATGAAAGTGTCAATTTCATAGACATCTAGAATTCAAAGTATTATTATTGACCTCTACATTCCTTTTAGCCCAGGACTGTAGGAATACAACAATCCATGTAGCCAATGCAAGGTAGCAAAAGTCTATAAGCTTTTCCTATAGCATTCAATTGAAGCACATGACCTTTTCATATTTTAAAGTGTATTTCCACTTGTGCAGTCAAATTTTGAAAACCCCACTATATGTTTGTTATGTGTTCCCATTCACACAGCATGCCTTTTTTTTTTTTTAAATGATTACAGAGCAAGTCTGTCCCAATAAAAAGGCTTAGGATAGGATGTGTTTCCTGTCATTATCATACAATGGTGAAGCCCAGCTTGTAAATCCTTAACCCTTTGTTAGGACAGTGAGTGTTTAAATCTAGTTTGCAACTGTTAATGCGATCTGGAAGCACAGTTCCGTTAAATGCTAAGTTCACATTTTGCACCACTGCACCTGTGACAGGTGTCTTCTCTCTGTCACATTTAAACATGGCACAACTGTACAGGGCTCTACCTGCACAGCCATGTCATTCACATGGATCTGTGAATGAAAGAACTATAAGTCCAGTCTTCCACAGCAGCAGACAGACTTGTAGTTCTCAGTGTACGAGTGGGGTAATCAGTGCACTCATAGTCCACTGAATATTCCCTCAGCTCTCTAACTAGCCTGTACTGAGGAATGGGCAGAGCTGGAGAATTATTTTTGGAGAACACGGATCTAGTGGTACTAAAATGGTAAGCAGCTATTAAAAATGAAGTTATGCTATGTGAATGGGAACACTATAAAGTAGGTAAACTGCAAATGAATGACTGCAACAATGGTATTACACTTTAAAGAAAACATTTTCTAAGAGAGAAAAGAGGGTTGCCACCATTGCTGACCTTCTTGTCAAAATTCTGTCTGGCTGTCATCCTGATCCTCCAGCATCAATGCTTTGAGTCATTTACTTTTAGTTGATACACAGAGATACACAGAGTTTTGTTAGAACTTCTCATCTGCATCCTCTAATATTGAAGCAAGAGGAATAGCATGTCAGCCAGGCAGCTAGCAGTTGCAGAATGAGAAACTGGCAATAGTAACGTTCATGATTCATTCACAAAATGTTTCCTTTTAATGTGAATATCTTTACAGTAGTTTATACTTAAACTCAATAGAGGAGAGTGCCTCAAGTGTGGCCCCTGACATCACCAAAGGGCCACACATTATATTCAACACATATAAAGCTAAAGAAAGTTGTCAGAGACTGCAGACATGCAACAGGAGATGGGCAAGGACTACAGGCATGAAACTATTAGAGATCACGAAATTGGGAAACACAGATTATTGTCTACAGGGACCCCAAAGGCCACAGAAAAGGACTGCATGTGGCTCACCTAAGCTTCAGGTTGAGGATGAGGGAGATAGATAGATAGATAGATAGATAGATAGATAGATAGATAGATAGATAGATAGATAGATAGATAGATAGATAGATAGATAGACAGACCTATAGATAGATAGACAGACCGATAGATAGATAGATAGATAGATAGATAGATAGATAGATAGATAGATAGATAGATAGATAGATAGATAGATAGATAGATAGACAGACCGATAGATAGATAGATAGATAGATAGATAGATAGATAGATAGATAGATAGATAGATAGATAGATAGATAGATAGATAGATAGATAGACCGATAGATAGATAGATAGATAGATAGATAGATAGATAGATAGATAGATAGACAGATAGATAGATAGATAGATAGATAGATAGATAGATAGATAGATAGATAGATAGATAGATAGATATAGACAGACCGATCGATAGATAGATAGATAGATAGATAGATAGATAGATAGATAGATAGATAGATAGATAGATAGATAGATAGATAGATAGATAGATAGACAGACAGACCTATAGATAGATAGACGGACAGATAGATAGATAGATAGATAGATAGATAGATAGATAGATAGATAGAGAGAGAGAGATAGATAGATAGATAGAGATAGATATAGATAGATAGATAGATAGATAGATAGACAGATAGACAGACTTTCTCTAGAGATTAAAAAACTAAAACTACACACTATGTATACCACAATACATAATATCTCCTGTGTGCCCTTTGTTTTACGGGTTATGTGATTTGACGAGCTGGCGGTGCAATTAAAATCAGGTAGGACGCCAAGTAGAACAGCACTATTTCACAACACCAACAAAGCAATCTCTTCACATCTTTTACAAAGCCTTGCCTAATAATAAACTGGAACTACCTCGACTAATTAAAGCAATATTTAAATCCGTGCCAGGTTACAGGAATGAAGTCCACAGAGGTGTGTTTCCCAAGGAAAGAAAAACTGTCATAAAAATGAAGAAGTGATGTGTCCTGTAATCAGTGGAAAATTCCCGATAACCGTCCACACAAATGTACAAATTCAATGAAAATTCCCTCCCTGTATTTCAGTATGTATCAGTCAGAGCTATGGCCACTTCTTACCAACTTGACTATTTGGAAAACTTTTTCCAAGCCAGTTTTTAGCTTTGCAGTGGACTCGCAGCACTGATTCATCTGTACAAGACTACTCAGTGCACTAGTATTATTTGGTACATAGACGGTTGCCAAGAGCTTTAAAAAAAGGAAAGAAAAAAAGGATTGTGGAATGCCAAACTTTCCACAATAATTTCAGAGATCAAAGTAATGTTTTAAATATTTTGGCATTTGGATACATCTGATGGAACAATATTACTGCATTTGTTGGGTTGTGTGAATTCTTCTTACTCTTTCTCAGTTAAGTCATATATGTGCCAAATATACAATAATGAAATAACTATATATATATATATATATATATATTATTTTTTTTTATTATTTATTTATTTATATAGAGAGGGGAGTGAGAGAGAGACTATATATATACACCCACATATATATATATATATAGACATACCGTATATACACACAGATACATGTACACACACACACACAAGCGCACCAGATTAATGCAGACGAAGGGTCCCGTCATGCCATATATGGTTCATTACTTACAGTACATATACACATGCTAGTGTATACACATTGTAACAGCAATGCACTTCAATAGGAGTAGTTCACACCCGGTCATGAAAACAATTCCATTGAAGTTTCCTTTGCAAATAAAGTGTACTGAAAGTGAAAAAAAAGTACTACAGCACAACGCAGCACATGTTCAAACGCAACACGCAGTCTGCCAACGCACATGCGTTTACATGCACTACAAGCGCACACTGTGCTGTCAATGGAAACTAAATAAAAAATGTAAAGAGTATTGAAATTCACGTTTTAAAATGTGCTGATGCAGCATTGCGTATGCATGTCACCGCACATGCGTTTATGTGCGCTCAGAGCAAGCGTTGCAGTGTGAATGGACCCCTATAGGACTATTATCGCACTCTATAAGTAACATTAATGGCAAGGTACACTTTTTTAACCCATGACAGCCCAGCTCCTGTCTACCTACCTTGCTTTACCAGAAGTGGTCAGTGTGTGCCATGCCAGGAGCCCGGGACGGTGCTGATCCGGATAATTAAATCCAACAGCCAGGAACCCAGAAAGCCAAACCTCAACATGTCATCATGACTCGGGAACCCCAAAAAGTATCCAGCAAACAGAATCCACAGCGATCGGAGTAATCCCAGTGTAGTGCGGCCAGATCACCTGTGCCCAGTGTTGGGTTGGCAGAGGATGGCAGCTCTCCGGGCACACTTGGCTAGGACAGCGCTGCCGGGTGCTTGTGTAACTGTGATGATCCAGCTCCTCCTTCCCGGCCTGTGTACGGGGAAGAGGGAGTGAGAGCCGATGAGAGAGAGAGAGGGAGAGAGAGGGAGAGGGAGGCAGGCGGCACACAGAGCTACTACTGCAGAAACTAGGTCAGCCACTCCAGCGCAGCCTGACAACGGAGAGCCGGCTAATGGAGAACACTGCTGCCTACCCCGACCACCCTCTACCTGTCCCCATACATACACCGACCACGTCCTGAGTGTGGGGACACGCCGCTGACCTATATTCCTTACCTCTGCCTCATTAGATCGCTTTACATGGAGATGTCATTACCGGCAATATTAGATCAGTCTTTATCAACTCATAACTTTGTATTCAGACCAGGGGCGGACTGACAACTCATGAGGCCCCCGGCAATAGGGGATCATAGGGCCCCTGTGTCCTTGCCCAAACTCAAAAAAGCCTATGAAAAAGGTACCAGGGGCATCTCATGGGGCCCCCTACTGACCCCGCGCCCTCGGGCAGTGCCCGAGTTTCCAAATAGTCTGCCCCTGATCCAGACCCTGCAAATCATGTCCAGGTCTCAGGGAACCCCTTATAAAAATGACATCTACAGCTCAGGGTGCGTTCACATTTTTCGCTTTTTTTTTCTCCAGCATTTTTATGTGCGTTAAAGCATTCGAGCTTCAAGCATTTTTGTATTAGCCTATAGAAAACCATCTGTCACTGTCGGGCGGACTGACCATTTGGAAACTCGGGCACTGCCCAAGGGCCCGGGGTCAGTAGGGGGCCCCATGAGATGCCCCTGGTACCCTTTTCATAGGCTTTTTTTGAGTTTGGGCAAGGACACAGGGGCCCCATGATCCCCTATTGCCCGGGGGCCCCATGAGTTGTCAGTCTGCCCCTGGTCACTGTGAAATCACTTGTTGCTGTGAGGACATATCACTTAAAACATGCAACAAAATGCGTGTTTTTCTTAATTGGCCCTAGTATGTGTATGTATGAATGTTAGGAACCTTAGATTGTATGTCCCTTGAGAGTTAGGGACTGATTGAATGTACAATATATATGTGTAAAGTGCTGCGTAAATTGACAGCACTATATAAGTACATGAAAAAAAATAAATAAATAATTATGCTAACCAATGCAATTATCTGGGGCTCAGAGCTCCTCAAATCGCACCAATCTGCCCAAATCGAGCTCCAAAAGTAGCTCCAAAATGTTTCTGAGCTTAAAGATGGACTCCAGGATAGGCAAACAAATAACTCATTAGTACCCCCCTACTCAAAACACTAAGCAGTGAATAACATTTTGAAAATCCTTACCATTTAGGAGAAGATTATAATTGAATTTTCATGAAATCATCTCTGTAATTCAAAAGATAACAGCATCTGCTCTGCCAAGGAGGAAGTGTAACAGCCGGGATTATATTATATCCTCTCCTCTCTCTCTGTAGTAAAAGGAAACTACAGTTTCCCATCAACCACAAGGAATGTGGGCGGGTACACTAGGCCTGTACATGTTGAATGTCTTAGAGTCTAAGTCAGCCCATCACTGCAAGTGGGGCTGAATTACATCACTGCTTCCTGAAGAAAGAACTACAGAAGGGATGTGCCAAGACCAGTGGCTGGGAGAATAGCAGGCACAGCAGCCATCGGTCTTACAAACAGGAAACCAAAGAGAATAAATGTTTTTGATTTGAAAATGAATAGGCTATTTCAGAGCAACTACTGAGTGAACCAGAAGATGGATGACATATTCAGTGATGGTAGGAGATCAGCAACAAAGATATGTAAAGAAGTTTTTTTCCCGAAGTTCTGCTTTAAGGCTCTATTCAGACTTGTGCAACTCAAAAGTTGTGTGATTTCTATTGCGACTTTACATTGCGACCCTGATACAACTTTGGAGTGGGGTGACTTGGATGCAACTTTGCGTTACGCTGCCGCGTTACTTTAACTGACAATTGTGTGGTCATGCAACGCTGCACCCAAATTAAATTTACAACATTTTTTTCCCACGAATAGAGGTTTCTTTCAGTGATATTTGACTGCCTGTGCGTTTTTTATTTTTTGTGCTATAAAAAAAAGACCGATGATTTTGAGAAAACAATATTTTGGACTTTTTGCTGTTAAACATGTCCAGTAAAAAAAATTATACAAATCAAATTTCATCATAAATTTAGGCCAAAATGTATTCTGCTACATGTCTTTGCTAAAGCAAAATCCCAACACGTGTAAATTCATTGGTTTATGTGAAAGTTATAGCATTTACAAATCGTGGTTTAGATACTGAATTTTTTTTTATGCTAATAATGGCGACAAACAGCAACTTATAGCGGGACTGCGGCGGACACATTCTGACACTGGGGGGAACTGATTTGGTGTCACTGACATCCCCAGTGACACCAATACAGTGATCAGTGCTTAAAAAAAAAGCACTGACACTGTACTAATGGCACTGGGCAGGAAGGGATTAACATGAGGGGCAACCAAAGGGTTAACTGTGTGATGGGAGTGTTTTACTAGGGGGCAGGGTGTGTGTTCTTCACTGTAAGCACACTGCTCTGGATGGCTGTGCTCAGCCATCCAGAGCAGTGTGCCCAAACCAACAGGGAGGAGGACTGTTGGTAAACAAAGCAGCCATCCTCCCTGTCGGTGATCGCTGGTAATCACCAGGCACCGGCGGGTAATCACAGGTCAGGACCTGGTGAATGACACCCACGGCCATGAATGGCAGCGTGGGTAGGGCACACATGTGGCTGATGCACGCCCTCTACCTGGAAATGCAAAATGACGTGTATATATATATATATATAATATATATATATTATATATATACACGTCATTTTGCATTTCCAGGTAGAGGGCGTGCATCAGCCACATACAGTTGCAAGAAAAAGTATGTGAACCCCTTGGGATTACGTGGAGTTTTGCATGAATTGGGCATAAAATTTGCTCTGAACGTCATCTAAGTCACAACAATAGAAGAACACAGTCTGCTGAACATAATACTACACAAACATTGGATGTTGCCATGGTTTAATTGCACATAACATGTAAGCATTCACAGTGCAGGGAGGAAAAAGTATGTGAACCTTTGGACTTAATAATTGGTTGACCCTCCTTTGGCAGCAATACCCTCAACCAAACGTTTCCTGTAGTTGCAGATCAGACCTGCACAACGATCTGGAGTCATTTTGGACCACTCCTCTTCACAAAACTGTTTCAGTGTAGCAATATTCTTGGGATGTCTGGTGTGAATCGCTCTCTTAAGGTCATGCCACAGCATTTCAATCGGGTTTGAGGTCAGGACTCTGACTGGGCCACTCCAGAAGGCGTATTCTGTGCTGTTGCAGCCATTGTTTTGTTGAATTACTTGTATGCTTTGGGTCATTGTCCTGTTGCATCACCCATCCTCTGCGGAGCTTCAGTTGGCGGACAGATGGTCGTACGTTTTCCTGCAAAATGTCTTGATAAACTCTGGAATTCATTTTCCCATCAATGACAACAATCCGTCCAGGCCCTGAGGCAGCAAAGCAGCCCCAAACCATGATGCTCCCTCCGCCATGTTTTACAGTGGGGATGAGGTTTTGATGTTGGTGTGCTGTGCCTTTTTTTCTCCACACATAGTGTTGTGTGTTCTTCCCAAACAACTCAATCTTGGTTTCATCTGTCCACAGTATATTTTGCCAGTAGCGCTGTGGAACATCCAGGTGCTCTTTTGCATACTTCAGACGTGCTGCAATATTCTTTTTGGACAGCAATGGCTTCCTCCGTGGTGTCCTCCCATGTACTCCATTCTTGTTTAATGTTTTCCTTGTTGTAGATGTGTCAACAAAAATGTTAGCATGTGCCCGAGATTTCTGTAGGTCTTTAGCTGACACTCTGGGATGCTTCTTTACCTCATGCAGCATTCTGCGCTGTGCTCTTGCAGTCATTTTTACAGGACAACCACGCCTAGGGAGAGTAGCAATAGTGCTAAACTTTCTCCATTTGTAGACAGTCTGTCTTACCGTGGACACATGAACATCAAGGCTTTTGGAGATACTTTTGTAACCCTTTCCAGCTTCATGCAAGTCAACAATTTTTTGATCGTAGGTCTTCTGAGAGCTCTTTTCTGCGAGGCATGGTTCACATCAGACAGTGCTTCTTGAAACCAGTAAACCCAAAACAGGTGTGTGTTTTTTAAGGGCAGGACAGCTGTCAGCAACACATCCAATATCATCGCACTGATTGGAGTCAAGGTTGGCTCACTCCTGGCTCCAATTAGCTCTGGGAGAAGTCATTAAGCTAGGGCCTCACATACTTTTTCCTCCCTGCACTGTGAATGTTTACATGTTATGTGCAATTAAACCATGGTAACATCTAATGTTTGTGTAGTATTATGTTCAGCAGACTGTGTTCTTCTATTGTTGTGACTTAGATGACGTTCAGAGCAAATTTTATGCCCAATTCATGCAAAACTCCACATAATCCCAAGGGGTTCACATACTTTTTCTTGCAACTGTATATATATGTGTGATTTTGCGCACAGGGGCAGCCCTGTAGCAGTATATCTACTATACGGTGGTCCTTGAGCGGTTAAAGGATTTTTAAAAAAAAAAATAACACACAGTATACTTACCTGCTCTGTGTAGTGGTTTTGCACATAGCAGCCCTGATCCTCCTCTTCGACTCCACTCTTTCTGTCGAGTAACCCCCGAGGCAAGCAGCTTGCTATGGGGACACCCAAGCAGACTTACTCCCAACCCTGTTGTTTCAGTCAATGAGAAAAGGGAGAATCCCCAGAGAGCCAAGGATCTTGTGCACATAGCTGGATTTCAATGGGGCTCAGGTAAGTATTAGGGGTGCAGCGGGAGGGGGAGCTGCATACAGAAGGTTTTTTATCTTTATGCATAGAATACATGAAGGAAAAATACCTTGAACCTTTACAGATGTGACTTTCATGTGACTTTTGAGAGTTTACATTTCAGTCTATGGCACTCAAGTCACATGAAAGTCACATCAAAGTAGAGCAGGAACCTTTTTAAAGTCGCTGTAATGTTAAAACGGAGTTCCACTCACTCTAAAAAAATAAAAGTCAGCAGCTGCAAAAACTGTAGCTGCTGACTTTTAAAAAACAGCCACTCACCTGTCCCATGATCCCGCGTTGCCCTCGTTGAAGCCCGTTTCATCGTCCGCCCTTTATTCCAGGCGCGCCATCTTCAGTGTGGGCACCCGGTTGTGACAGCTTGTGGCTTCATAGCTGGGTGCCCACTGCGCATGCATGAGTAGTGCTGCGCTTCCTGAATGGCCCCGTCATCTTCTGGGACCTGTCACATGTCCCACAAGACTTCGGGGAGGGAGGGTAGGAGAAAAACTTCCACTTCCGATCGCCTAGGCGATCGCAGTGGATATGGGAGCGGGTACCTGTCAAATTCAGGTACCTGTTCCCCCCACTCCCCAAAGGTGCCAATCCTTAACCAATTCAATACCGGGCAATTTTACACCTTCCTGCCCAGGCCAGTTTTCAGGTTTCAGCGCTCTCACACTTTGAATGACAATTGCGCGGTCATACAACATTGTACCCAAACTAAAATTTTATCATTTTCTTCACACAACTAGAGCTTTCTTTTGGTGGTATTTAATCATCGCTGGGGTTTTTATTTTTTGCTAAATTAACAA